CTTTATATATAGTGATTTTTCCTCCATGTTGTCCCATTTTTAAGATATAAAAGAAGTAGTAGTTTTGCATACGATTCCCTTACTTTGGAAGTAAGCCGGATCAAATGATTCACCATCGTTATCCATGCACAAATAGTGTATTTTCGGAATACACGTTTAGAAATCACCTATGTGAGTGTGAAGTGGAGCCGCTTCAAGGAGAATAAAAGAAGGTCAGTTCTCTAAGCACTCATGAGATCAGGCGGTGTTCATGGCTAAAACGAACACAACAATGAGAACCAGTAAACGGATAAGAGTTAGTTGTGTGACATATATTGTCTTAGTATACAAGCAAAACAGAAGGTTCAAAGATATCACATCTACCGATTGGTGAGTATACTTGATATATGTTCACTAAGGAAGGTTCAAAGGGAAACCTACCTACCCCGATGCAACTAATTCTTAGTCGAGAATCACACGATTTTTGCATAGTTTTTAAAATACAACATTCTCCATTCATGTGGGGGATTGTTGGGTTTTTAGTGGTGTGAATGGAAATGAAAGGGAAAAGTTTCAAGAGAGTCTCCTGAAGTACCATGTTGGTAAGATGTGGGAAGGCTCTGCCTTGAATTCGATCGATTTAATATAATATGTGGTTAATCGGTTAAATTGGTTTGTGTACCAAACGAACCAAACCAAACCGAGTTGAACCAAATCAAACCAAACCGAAATGGCGGTTGGAATAACCAAACCGGTCCAACTACCATGGGCCGAACCCAGTGGCGGATTCAGAAAATTTTCATAGGGGTGTCCTCTTAAAAATTAAATTTAATTAAATAATAAATTAAATAATTCGTATATTAAAAATATCATACTTGTATAAATTTTTTATTAAAATTCATGATGTGTTTTCATATTTTGAAAAAATAATATAAATAAACTCCGTGTCTGTACTGTTAAAAAAAAATCTACATATCCTACTAGACAATACTTCACGAACTTATCACATATTCGATTTCTAACCTTGTTCTTAATGTAGCTCGAAGTAGAAAAGACTCTTCCAACACTTGCCATGTAACCATAAAATCAATTCAAAATTAAGGGTAGCGTGTACGTAGTTTAATTATTAGGTATTGAAAATAGTTGGGGATAAAGAAATAGCGTTTTACTGTTGCATGATGTTTAAAATAGAATAACAAATGAGTAGCAACATAATTAGAATATGTTTGATAATAGTAGTGTCCTAGGTTGGAATAACACGGACTACCACTTATATTTTGTTAATCATAAGCAAACTATTATCGAGGGTAGGATAATTATTTTTTCAAATGTTAGGGTGTCCCGAATTACCAATTATATTTTGTATACCCATACGAAACTATTATCGGAGGTTGGATAATCGTTTCCCCAAATTTTAGGGGTGTCCCGGGACACCCCTAGAGGCCCATGTATCCGCCCCTGGCCGAACCGATGCAATGGTTCATTATTTTAAAATGAACCAATGCTTATCATCCCGATCGGGATAGATGGCCTGCCTCGCTGCGGTCTCAAAAACAAGCATGGAAACAGCAGTCAATCAGAAAGATAAGATGAAGTTGCGTAAACTCACTCTACTTAAAGGTTTTATAGGTACTTATTCAAGTATGGGAGGGAAGATGACTCTACAAACGATATGTGGTTTTGTCATAAAATAAGATAAATTTTTTTTGGACTCGTTAGGTTTGGCCCATTATTGCGATAGATGGAGCTTCCAAGAAGGAAAGCTCAATCCCATCTCCTGTCCAGTAAGAAGGAAGGTCATCAGTCTCATAGCATATTAAGGCCAATCCCATATGCAGCCTATGCGGATAAGATCACAGTTGATCTTGCAATCGCATTTTAATTAGAACAAGAAGGAGAGGAAGGGAATATATGAGCCCGTAGGGCGAAGGTTTAGAATATATGAGCCCGCACAATTCAACAGGTATCTTGGAAAGATATTTAGAAGGAAGCAAATTAAAAAAGTACATTGCTCTACTATTTTGAATAATCCAATTTTCTCTTTCTTCAACATCATCGTACATGGGCCCCGAGCCTCGTCCTGCGGCGAAGTGAGCGCCCTGGCTCTGGAATGGAGCCTTTCGCATAGCTGAGGAGATCAGCAGCACTGTGTCTACGACCAGAACTCCCGTGAAAGAAAGTTACCGTTGAACCGTCCTGGGTCCGCCCATCTCGCCGACTGGTTCGTGTAGAAGAAGTTCACTCACAAGGCTTCTTTTTAGATCAAATAGCCCATAGAAATTCACTCATAACAGAAGCTAGAGGAGCCCATTCCGAATGCTTTTCTTATCTGGAATTTCTCGCACAAAGAATAAGATGTTGCTCCCCCTCCCTCTGTCTTCTCTCGTTTTGCTAATCTTCCCCTCTAATGCGGGTCGGGCGCTTTCTTTCCCTTATTAGTAAAGGGGCGTGGGAGGAAGAAACCTAAGAGAAAACACTCTTCTCTTAGGTCCTTTTTTCAGTGCCTCAATTCTCTACCTGATCTCTATGATAGCTTTGAAGTCGGGTAGGTATGGGGCATACTACGAAGAGTTGCCTCCCTTCGTAAGCACCCCTTCATTTTCTATAAATAGCACCTAAGCCCCTCTGGTTTTGATATAGATTTTCCCGGTACCAAAATTCCGCCAAAATCCAAAACTAGGTTTCTCCATTCTTTTTAAAGAGAAAATAGAGTCAAGTGTGGTTCTCGCCGATTTGCTGCGTTCGATGGTTTCCGGAGTTTGAGGTACTGCTACGCCGAAAAAGGTACGTCCTTTCTATCCTGGGAGGAATCATTCCATAACCTTGGATACTTGAGGAGAATAAGATTCTTTAAGTAGAGATAGTGAATTCTATCGGCTAGGACGTTTGCATGTGTCTTTGCATGTTTTTAATCTTATGTGTTTGCTTGTGTTGCAAGAAAATAGTATACGTGAACAAATTCCTCAAAATTTCCGACAGACCTTCCTCCCGATATACCCTTCAATGGGTATAAAATATGACCAGCATAAACACTCCCAATCTATCCTTCGATGGGCCGACATTATAATGTATGTCTGAAATCATACTTTTTTATTATTTTTATAGTAATTGCAGTGATGAGATGGAAACTATTCAATAATTAAAATGATTTTTTATTCATTTTCAAATGTCAAGTCACTCATTTAGCGGTCGATTATGAAAATTGACTGTTATAGAGGACCGAGCTGACGAAGTTGGACGAAGAATGACCAATAGTAAAACGCACATGTAAAGTTAGTGACCATTAATGAAAATAAAATTTTTAGAGGCAAATATTAAACACAATAGTGAATCATGTGACCAAACGTGCTATTTATCCAAAGAAGAACTTCTCCCTCCTTTTGATGCTCAAGATGACAAGTGCAAATCTTGTGTGTTGACTAAAATTACTAGACAACCGTTTGAACCCATACAACGAGATTTTAAGGCACTCGAACTTGTACATATTGATATATGTAATTTACAAAACACTCCTACTTTAGGAGAGAAGAAATATATCGTCGACTTTGTTGGTGATAATTTGAAGGTGTGGTGTGCATACTAAGGATGACATCGTACTTAATTACTTTGTTATTTTCGAAACATAAGTGGAGTTGCAATCCAAAATGAGAATCGATTTGAAAGGTTACACGACATAGCTCGATCTCATCGGTGACCAATTCTTCCCTGCCTTGACCGATTCAAGCAACAAACCACTCTAAGTGTTGCTTCTGCTCCCGCTCCCAATTATGAGATTGTGGTATGTTGCATGAGACTGGTGGTTTGTAGTATGAGATTTGTGGTTTGTTTTCTCGTGTTTATGGTATATGGTTTGCTTTATGAGATTTGTGGTTTGCTTTTTTTATGTTCTCTGATTTGCTTTATGAGATTTGTGATTTATTTGTATTTATGATCTACTTTATAAGATTTAAGGTTTGCTTCATGACATTTCTGGTGCACTTCAAAAGATTTGTGCTCTGCTTTATTAGAGAATTTATTCATATAAAACCAAATATTAATTTTCTCATTCGCATAAAACCAACAATTTATCAAATTCGTCCCTAAGTCACTCCTCTAGAACTAGAATCTCTTAGATAAATCAAATGCCACTAAGTTCTCCAAGCCTAACAATAACCAAGCTTATAATTGAATAACAACCAAGTTTAAATATGTCATGGAAATTTTTGCCAAATACTAAGAACTTGAAAATGTTAAAAGAAGTATGAAAAATGATACTCATATTTACCAGGGAGATGATAGGGTGTTAACACATTTTTCTTCACATTTTTCTTCCACTTCCTCTTCCCTCTCCATCTACATTGCTTCTATGGAGTTTCATATACAAAATTACAGTTTGGGTTCCCGAACTTAATAGATCTTAATATTTCGTACATTTTCTCGATGATGTAAAAAACACATAAAATTTGTTTTTCTTGATATATTGCTTTTCAATTGAAGTTGTTTGATTAAGATAGACCCTTATGAGTGTGTTTATGACTTGCGATTGAACCCTTGATGCATATGATCCTCGAGCTAGCAACTTTGACTCACTTTTGATTTTGTGCTTCGATATGATTTTTGAGCCATTAGCTCAAACATTGATTGTTATCTAATGAGTTGTTTCTAACCTTCGACCGAGATATAGGAACCTCTAAAAAGATATGATGCCCTTGTTTTCACTTCAAAATCCTCTAAAATGGTTCTCATAGAATGAACTTAATAACTAAATTACTTTCAAATTACGATAGTTTGCGACTACATGATAATATGTGTAACCATCAAAAAATTCGTCCGTCCATTTTTGGAATGTCCTCCCCTTGACACCTGAAATGTAAACGGTTGATCTTCCATGTGTGCAGCCCAATATATACTGAGGCCCAAACCCAACAGGATACGAATGTCGTAAATGGGCCGATCCACTGACTTCTCTTTGCTAGACCCAGAAATAAGCAGCACAAACCGACAACCGTTGACTGGTTGATGTTTCCTTTGTCGTTCTAGGCCGTCGGATCAATATAAAGGAAGCCATCGCTCCCGTCCATTACAGTGCGCCTCCTCCATTTCCCCCGTTCCGCTTTAAATATTTGTTTATCCGGCCGAGAAGAGGGAAGAGCTGTTTGCGTCGATTATCAGCAGTGTTTCTCTCGTCGGAGAATCAGCGCCGGATCACAGTAGCAGAGGCGAAGAAGCGAGGAGGAAGCAAAAATGTCGGGAGTCACTAATGAGGAAGACAAGAAGCCAGCAGATCAGGGAGCCCATATCAATCTCAAGGTCAAGGGCCAGGTTCGATTCCCTCTAACTCTTTGTTTGCCCTCGATTAGCTTCGTTCTCAAAGGGCACTGCTTTTGTGAGATCTTGTTCTTGGTGTATCGTGATGTTTATGTCCCGATCTGGGTAAGAAGTTGTGTGCTTGATTGCCAGGGTTAGGGTTTGGAATATCTTTTTTGGTTGAATTAGTTATGGGCCTGTGTAGTTAGCTCGTCGCTTGGAACTCCCGTCCTGGTGGAAGTAGCGTCCTTTTGTGTTCCTTTTTCAGAAACCTTTTCCGGGGAACTCTTGAGGGGTTTTGGTGGCTATGTTGCCATTTGCTTACCTTTGATGTTCGGATTTGTTTTGGTTCCTTATATAAGGGATTAGCTAGCGGATACTTGTGGCCCAGTCATTCGACTAGGCTCATAGATTGTCTCACAGATCTTTCAAACGCTACAAAAGATGACCGAAGGGAAGTTTCATGGTTGTGTTATTGGTTTCCTTATACAGCTTTACTTACGGTTCATTGAATTGGAGCGCGCAAGCACGTTTAGACTGCTGGTGCAAGTTTGTAGTTTGGTGAACTGTGATTGGATTAAGTATTGGTCTTGTCTAATGAACTCTTTAGATTGTTGGGTGTACCGGGATCTATTATCTACATATCTAGTTTACTCGGGTTGGCTTAGGAAATGGGGATATAAGCTAGGAGTGACTAATAGAGTAGTTTAGTGAACTTGGGCACATAGTATCCTAGATAAACCCAGCAGTCTTTCTGTTCGTCTGTGGGTGAATTGCATAGACAAGAATTTCCCGGAAGATGTTATTCTAATTTGTTTGCATTTTGTAGGATGGGAATGAAGTCTTCTTCAGGATCAAGAGAAGCACTCAACTGAAGAAGCTTATGGGTGCATATTGTGACCGTCAGTCGGTTGACCTCAACTCCATTGCATTCTTGTTTGATGGCCGCAGGCTGCGAGCTGAGCAGACTCCGGACGAGGTCTCTGTCTTTCCTCCTTTTATCTTTTGCTGTGTTCTTATACTGGCCATATGCCTGAAACATGTCTGCTTTGTTGCTGATCCCCGCTTTTCTGTCTTGCAGCTGGAGATGGAGGATGGAGATGAGATAGATGCAATGCTCCACCAGACCGGCGGTGCAGCAAGCGCCTAGATATATATCCGTTTGAGCTACGGTAGATGTAACATATTAGTTATTCTGTGAATTAGTGGTATCTGAGAAGTAGTCTATGTTCTGTGTGGGGAGAGCTATATCTGATATACAGTCCGAGCTATGTCTGATATACAGTCGTTATCTTTATTACTGAGATTTTAGGTTCTATTCTTCGTGAGTAGATTGTTACTATGATACTATCCCCAATCTCCACGGAGGCTAGGTATGTACGGATCTATCTATGGGAGATATTGTTGAGACCCTAAATAGCTTTCGTCTTGGTAATTATTCATCTGCTTGTGCTCTCCCAGTTTCATTCATCTCATCGTTGATTGTTTCTAGTCTTTTATCATCATGACAGATGGTTTGGAACATAGTTGTACTTTTTTTTTTGTGGTCACGACTACAACAAGGAGCTTATAGTATCGAGATGATGGATTTGTTTTCGAAAAGGGCTTGTTTTTACTAGATTTGCAATCTAAACTCATCAGGTCTATTCAACGATCGTAAAGTGTTCATACAGAATTCGACTATTCCGAACCCTAATGATTCTTACACATAATTTGTGAATAGCCTAGCAAATTTGGTTAGGCATGACACGAAAAGCAAAATAAAGTGCCCAAACTCCAAACGAGGCCCGTGCCCAAATACAACGCTTGCGGTTGGTGCGGTTTCCCGCTAGCTTTGCTCGTTCTGTGCCATCAATGATCAAACAAAACCCAGTCCGCAGGCAGTCTCACTTCAACTCCCTAATCCTCCTTTTGAGTTTGGGGTTCTAAAGTTCCAACCTTTACCTCCAATTTATCAGTTCCCTTACTTACACCCTCTGCACTCCTGCAACACCGCTGCTGGTTTTTTTGCTGTTCAGTTTAACCCTCCGCCGTGAAAATTCCTTCCCCATATAGATGGAGTCGAACGGGGATGACGCCGCTCGTATCGTCGCCGAACTCGAAACCCTCAAGTCCGCCAAAAGCGACATAGACAGCCGAATTCGAGCTCTGGAAGCTCAGCTCCGCGACTTGAACCTCCAGAAGCCCGCCGTCACCGCCAACGGGTCTTGTCATTCCGGCGGCTCGGCTACTGATTCTGCTCTGGCTCATGGATTATCGCCGGATATGATTTACCGCTACAGCCGCCACCTCCTCCTTTCCTCTTTCGGAGTTCAAGGTTAGGCCTTTCTGAGTTCCCGTTTTTTTCTCCCCCTTCTCCAATTCGCTAAGGAAACTAGGCATTCATGGGTTAGGCTGAGAAATTCGTGCAGGGCAGTCAAAGCTCGTCAAGTCTTCCATTTTGGTGGTTGGAGCTGGAGGATTGGGCGCCCCTGCTCTGATGTACCTTGCAGCTTCTGGTGTTGGTAATAACTTGATCTCTAGTTTCTTCGTTCAAGATGGGGGTTTCCCCCCCCTCTCCTGTTAGTTTTGTGATTCTGATTTCGTGGTCTTCTGTGTAGGCCGGTTGGGTATCGTCGATCATGATGTTGTTGAACTCAATAACATGCATAGGCAGGTACATTTTGTTGCCCGTTGCTGTTTGCTTCTACCTTTATTTCGAGTATCAGTATCGAATCACTAGAGATTCTCGTTAGTGTACGTTTCTGCTGAACTTTGCTTGCTTGGTTTTGTTCCCCCCCCCCCCCCCCCTGGAAATTCTTTGTCTTGTACATTTGATCACAGGTTATACACACTGAAGCATTTATTGGTCAACCGAAAGTGAAGTCTGCTGCTGCTGCCTGTCGCTCGTACGTTCATCATTTTGATGATCCTGCATAAATTTAGTTTTAGGTTGTTGAGCTACTTGTAGGGTTTGACTTTCTATTGATTAAAGTTTTCGACTTTTGCTGTATCTTTGAATTTCCTGTTACATTTTGGTTCTGCAGAATCAACTCCTCAATTCAGGTAGTAGAACACCAAGAAGCATTAAGGACATCCAATGCTATTGAAATTATGAGCCAGTATCCTTGTGTTTGAAATTTCTTCTCGAATTTTGTAGCCCCTTGGTGGTTGCATTTCTGTTTCTCTCTTTATTGGTGTTTTCAACTTGCTACCATCTTGCTTCAGATACGACATTGTGGTAGATGCTACAGATAATGCACCAAGCCGTTACATGATCAGTGATTGTTGTGTCGTTTTGGGGAAGGTACATTAAACCCACGATCTGTTTGAATGTGTTTATGTCCCATATGGGATCTGAATTCCGAATACTTCACCCTCTTGTCTAGTTGCTAACTGTTCCCTATTCCTTCACATCCAGCCTCTTGTGTCGGGTGCTGCATTGGGATTGGAGGGTCAGGTACGCCATGTTTCATCCATAATCTGATTGCTGTTTGCTGCACCATACACAAAAACTACTTGATCTGCCTCCCCCAAATAAATCTTGTCGCTTTCATGTTCAGCTGACAGTCTATAATTACAATGGAGGGCCATGCTACAGATGCCTTTTCCCAACTCCACCACCTGCAACAGCTTGCCAAAGGTGCTCAGATAATGGAGTCCTAGGAGTGGGTAAGCCAAGAATTTATTTCGCCTGATTTCAATTTTATATGTTTGCCATATGCGAGCCGTCATAAGTGCATTTTCCTATTACCGTCGAGGCAGGCAATATATGATGTCCAGTGTTTTGTACTTGTCTGGTGCATATTAATTTTAGAACCGAGGCAGTTGACTTTAGCCAAGATTGCTGTTGTAACTATGATTTAATGTTCGCAGTCCCTGGAATAGTTGGCTGCCTACAAGCTCTAGAGGCCATTAAAATTGCTAGTGCTATTGGGGAACCGTTGTCAGGACGCATGCTTCTACTTGATGCATTATCAGCACGAGTTCGGATTGTATGTTACCTGCTTGTGTACCTTCAAGCAGTTTGATTTAATCTCTGTTATCCAAATTTCGACAGGCTATCATTGATGCGCTGTTAAATATTTTGCTTAGGTCAAGATCAGAGGGAAGTCAATACATTGTGAAGTTTGTGGAGAAAATACTAAATTTACCAAAGAGCAATTTAAGAACTTTGATTACGAGAATTTTACTCAATCTCCCTTGTCAGCGGTATTCACCCAGATCCCCCCTCTGATAAATAGCAGTAGCTCATGAATTATCAATGACTGAAAAACTCATGAATCTTTCAACCTGAATGCAGGCTCCCTTGAAGCTGAACCTTCTTTCAGAAGAATCTAGAATCAGCAGCAGTGAGTTCAAGGAGAAAGTGACAAAAGGAGAACCATATGTTTTGATCGATGTACGACCAGGCCACCACTTCAAGATTGTTTCACTTCCAGATGCCATGAATATCCCTCTATCGACTTTGGAGGGCAGGCTGCCTGAGATCTCTTCAGCTTTGAAAGAGGAGGAACATCGCAGGAGCAGTGAAAGCTCGGAGTCACCTATTGTTGGCCTTTACGTGATGTGTAGAAGAGGCAACGACTCACAGAGAGCAGTTCAATTGCTGCAGAGTATGGGATTCCCCTCTGCAAAAGATATCGTTGGTGGCTTAGAGGGCTGGGCTCGTGAGGTGGATCCAGATCTCCCTACTTACTAGAGACCAAATAGTTTTGTCTTGCAATGTTTTCTTCTACATGAAATCCTGTACTTCAAGATGGGGGGATGCAAACTCATTACCAGCAGTTCATCTGGGTTATTTTAGTCCCTTTAAGTTATCAGTATAATCTACTGTTTACTTGTCCGTGGTAGATCTTTATTATAAAATAGAGTACTTTGTCGACAACAACTTGAGCAGACAAGGAATGGCAACTAAGACGCTTTGTTTTGTATATTTTTCTTGCTGCAACTTGAAAATCAGATAAATACACCAGTGACCAGCCAACCTAGCAGAGAAAGGACAACCTTGAACATCATGAGGTGACACAGAAAGAGAAGCAATGCTTTAACTAGCTATTTTGGACTGCTGACTCTGATGGTGTGCCTTAAAAGATAAACATCACACATAACTTCTAACCATTATTAAGGGCTTATTCCATGGCCTCTTCCTTATGGTGACCGGGTGGATCTGGTTGCCATGGCTGTGGTGGCCTAGGAGGGAAGGGAAATGGCGGCTGGGGCCAAGGACGAGGCCATGGCTCTGGTGGCCTAGGTGGGAAAGGAAACGGCGGTTGTGGCCAAGGGCGAGGCCACGGTTCTGGAGGCCTAGGTGGGAAAGGGAACGGAGGTCGTGGCCAAGGACGAGGCCATGGTTCTGGTGGCCTAGGCGGGAAAGGAAACGGTGGTCGTGGCCAAGGGCGAGGCCATGGTTGTGGCTGATCACCGCCATACCCACACATCCCAAAAGAACACTGAACTCCCCAGGGGCATCTGTTGAAGCACTTCCCACAGTTGAATGGACTAACGTTGCTGTCGACACACAATCCACCACAACATTGCCAAGTGAAGGGGCAGCTGATCCCACACCAGCCACAATTGTTTGCATCAGACGACACATCTACACACTGGTTCCTGCAACACTGCATCCGCGGTCCAGGTGGGTCGTGATGATTGACACCCTGATCTCTGCATATCCATGGCGCTCTTGAGCAGCCGGGGTCTCGAGGCTGCTGGTGATGGTTTCTCACTTTCTTCAGCCATGGTGATGAGTGCGTCGACACGTTGTAGTAGTAGTAGTGTCCTTGTTTGGAAATTGAATCCCCATTTGCCAGCACAAATAGCAGCAATGGCATGAACAAGGTCGCTGCTATTCGAGCATTTTCCAACTGCATATTATGTTGTTTGGATACATATCCCAGACAACCAGAATGAGAAAGCTTTATATATATACAAATTACAAAAGGTGCAAAGCCTTTTACAAGCAATCTAATTGTGTTGTCAATTTGCAAGAGAAGAAGAAGCTTGTAAGAGGAGGCAAACTCATGTTTTCCATACATGGGTGTCGTGTAATGAAAGGTGGTAATCTCATTATGACTGGGAGGCTGTTTTTGTTTTGGAATTCAAGTAACTGTCGACTGTACTTAACCTGTTTTTCTTACCTTATTTGTGAATTTTCTAAAGAACATGAAATGTGGTAAAGCATGAAGAAAGTCGTCTTCTCATACTTCACCAATGCGGAAAACTTTCCCAGTTGTAGCCGACTTTTGCCTTTTCCTGTTCCCATTAGGATTCAGGTAAGAAAGTTGTGACCTTTGATTAAGCTGTCATTGTTTTCTTTTCGCATCCGTTAGAATATGAAGGTCTGGAAAACTGTCCTCAATTAAACCTGATTGGAAAATGTTTCGAGTGACCGACCCTGGACAATTTCGATGAATTGAGCGAGGAACAAGAATGCATCATCTCACAGTTGACTGATTATGAATTGTATCAATGATGGATTTTCAAAGTGGATGTAAGTTGGAATGAACGAATTGCAAGAGTGGATGGATTTCAAGAGATTCCTGAATGTAGTTTACAAGAAATCCTAGTCATCAATTACTGCTGTCTGCTGGTAATAATATGCAAATAGTTTGGAATCTACCAATATTCAAATATTGATTCTGCTCAAACTGATATAAATAACTATTACAAGAAGCAACTGTGGTCTTCAGCCACCACATTTATAGTCTGATAGAAAGTCAGGAAGCCAGGAAGCTAAATTGCAGTATGATAAAAAGCTGAGGATTTTTCCAGGCCTTCCTCAACAGTGAACAGAAATCATGAAATCTCGAATCTCAATTTGAAGGATCCTTTTTCCCTTTTTCGGTTTCTTCCTCGTTCTCCTGACCATAGCGACGCTTGAACTTGGCAATCTGCCCCAGACTTTCAGCCATCTGCCGCTTTGCTCTGAAGTGGTAAACTTTACCAGTGTTGTGTATTTTGGTCATCATGACATTCATCAACCTGCCACTCTGCGTGACATAAGATATCCATTGCCTTTGCGGGTGAGCTCCTTTCTTCATTTCGACCGAATCTGTTATCAAGCATCAGTTTGTCAAAGATCAACGTGAGAACAACTCCAAGTCTCCAACAGGGTTGCATCATATGCATCCATTCACCACAGTGCAATTGGGAAGACCATCTATCAAGGTCCGAGGAAACACAAACAATGAAGGATGGCAACAGAAGAGGTAGCTGCCTAATGCCCACCAAGCTAAAGAAGAACAGAACAGAGTTTCACATTCCAAAGAGAGCACTCTGATCAGTGATCACGATGAGGAAATTCATCTACGCAAAAAGACCTGACCTTTCTGGTCTACCTCCAAGATAAATAAGAAAGCCAAACCACAGAGCAGAAAAGGCTGAACTAGTGCCATTTGTAAGAGATTCCCACAGGACAACCAGCTTAAAGTTCTGCTGACTCAAAGGAAGTCAATTGAATTATTGGAATATTTCTCCACGAAAATGGATCCCTTCGGTAATGCAATTCCCAAATTTCTATCTAACAACCATTATCAAATCCACTCAACAGTCCAATTGGGTAAGAAATGGCAGACTGTTCCGCACTGTGAGAAGACTCACCAAATCAAGCTACTGGGGACATAACGTCGAACAACTGATGGGCAATGCATAGGAACGAACAAACGATAAAGAAATCAAATTGCACAGAAGATTGGGGAAGATGAACCAAACCCCTAGATGAGTCGCTACCAGAGCAGAAAGGAAACAAGCTGAAGAAGATACTGACCTGGAAAGAGCTGCAGCGATCTTGGTGGGGGGAAACCTCGATAAACCCTACTCCAGTATTCCTTCGAACTAGAGAACCCAGCTACGAAGATCTTCGCATTGAAGAAGAAACAGAACAGGTTGAAGAGGGATATCGGGCTGGACCTGGAGACGGGCCGCTTGATCCAGCCCAGTTCATAAGATTGTCTTTTAAAGTCTGCATTTTCGCCAGCCGGGTCAGGCGGGTTGACCCGGACCGGTTCCGTGGATGGGCTAAACGGGCTCTGGCCGAGCCACGACATCTCTCAGCGCCATTAGATCAAATCGTTCTCTGGTTCGTCGACAGCCGATCAAATCACTGCTCAACCAGAAGAAGATTGTCGCTCCTTCGTAGCATAATTTCAGCACAAGGTCGTCGGTCGAAGGGGAGGAAGAATGGCTACTGCGGTAATCGTAGGAGACGCGAGCTCCTGGGCTCGAGCGCTCGTTAGGATCTCTCCGTACACCTTCTCCGCCATCGGAATCGCCATCTCTATCGGAGTCTCTGTCCTCGGCGCCGCCTGGTATGCTCGTTCATATGCCAGCGGTTGTTTCTCTGTTTTGAAGTGAAGCTGTTCTATTTGATCAGTGTGGATTTCGGTTCCTTGAATGTGTTTCTGACGTGATTTGATGGGTTGGGATCGGGTTGTTGTTGCAGGGGGATTTACATCACCGGAAGTAGCTTGATCGGAGCTGCAATCAAAGCTCCTCGCATCACCTCTAAGAATCTAATCAGGTGCCTGAATTTAGAACTTTCTTACGTTCTTGCTTCTCTTCCATTCTTTGGTGTCTGCTTTCCTGAACCAGTTGTGCATGCCTGTTTCTAAATTTGGTACTTGGTGATGATCTGATGATGTTAAGACGCTGCAGTTGAACTTTAGCCGTTCGGTGTTTTGGAAGTTACTAGTTAGTTACCCGAAGAATCAAACTCACTGGCATTTAGATTCAACTTGGTAATCTGCATTTGGCTAGAATCGAATTAAATTCACTAGCCAGAGTGCCAGAAGGTCAAATTGAATGATGAAAGAGGTGGTCTTTATCTGTTTATTGAAGGGAGAAGGATCTGTTTTGGAATTGCTTAGGTGTTGCCTACATTTCTCTGTTTCTTCTGCAACCCAGGGAGCTCGAGCTTCGTCAACATTCCACATCGTGGTTGTTTTGCTTGATCCAAAATCGGATTTAGGACATAAGATTCCTCATTGCATCGGCTAGATGCTTGGCTTAAATCTGGAATTTCTGTTTACACTCTGGGTCCGGTTTGCTAGTCCGGAGCTGAAGCTGGTGTAAAATGTTTTATCCTGGTTATCTAATCCTTTCCTTATCTTAACCTAGAATGTTGGTCACGTTAACGTCTGTTGGTACATGAAATTTTCAGGTTTATAGAACAGAATACGTTTGACAATAAATGATCAGTTCCCCTTAGATGGTTTATGAGTGTCTGTATTATATCCAGTCTCTCCTTACCTGACAGCATGAAGAAGATAGATAGATGTTGAAGTTTCTTTCTTTTCTTGTGTTATAAGCTATGCTGCAAACTACTGACTACAAGTTGGTTTCTTATGCATTATGTCTTGTTCCAATTCGACTTCATCAGTATAGTATACTTTTTTTACTCATGTGAACTGCTATAAGTATTTGACTGCCACAACTATTCCTAGCTGATGGGGTGGCTGTTCCACTTTGGATTATGAAATTTGTTTTTTCTATTAAGTTTTTGATAACCTCTGTCTATGTATTAGAATTGACAATTGTTTGGTGCATATATAACCATCTGGTTACATTTGGATGTGAATTTTTCTTTCTTGTGGAGTGCTGTCGCAGCCTTGCCTTTTCTGTGTCTAGTTTGACACAGACTTCCAGTCTTTCACCAATTCGTAACCTCTAGAATGATGACAACGCCTTCAGGGTATAATTTGCGGTGGTTGGTTGTTCATTTCAGTGTGATCTTTTGTGAAGCTGTTGCCATATACGGTGTCATTGTGGCAATTATCCTGCAAACAAAATTGGAGAGTGTTCCTGCTTCACAGATATATGCTCCTGAATCTCTGCGAGCTGGTTATGCAATTTTTGCATCTGGTATTATTGTTGGCTTCGCCAACCTCGTTTGCGGGTATGTATCTCCATCTTACACTGGTTGAAACCCGTTAAACTTCGTGTTGCATTCAAAGAATAATTCAACTTTTCTTATTTTTGTGGGGACTTCGTTGTACTCTGTTGTCTGACAACAGGGTGTGTGTTGGAGTCATTGGGAGCAGCTGTGCGCTCTCCGATGCCCAGAACTCATCACTTTTTGTGAAGATTCTCGTGATTGAAATATTCGGCAGTGCTCTTGGGTTGTTTGGAGTGATTGTGGGCATCATCATGTCTGCTCAAGCATCATGGCCTTCCAAAGTGTAACAACATGTCGCTAATGGAATCAGATGAAGGAATTGAGGGACCATGTAATGTAGGTATTACTCATGATCCCAAGTGCGCCCTGTGTATCTTATTCTTTCATATCATTTGTTATGAATACAAGGTGTTTGGTAAAAAGAAAGAAAGATGCTTGTGGGGAGGTTAGACCACCTGTACTACTGTTAAGTAAGTTTTGTTGTCCGAACAGAATAAGTACTCGGGACCAAATGAGCTGTGTAATTTTTACTGAAAGCTGGTGCGTTACTGTTGAATGATGTTGTTGTTGTGTTCCCTGGTAGATTCTTTCTTCTGCTCCGGGAATGTCCTTGGACTTGAAGACGTGAGGGTGAAGGCAGTTGCTGAAATTTCTTGCTTGCTTAGTTTGAACACAACTCTTGAAATGTTACTCTGTTGTGTCAAGTACTATCCAGCGAAAACGATATATAAGTTTGAGGCTGGTGTTTACTATTGATTTTTGTTTTGTGTTCCCTGGTAGATTCGTCTTCTGCCCTGGTAGTTTCCTTGGAGTGGAAGACGTGAGAGTGAAGGTAGCCCGTCGAAACTTCTTGGTTGGTCAGTGTGAAAGTGGTCTTGAAAATCTAGTTCCCTTCATCGTTCCCAGAAAGGCATAGATGGCGTCGAATAACCACATGCGCGCTCCATTTTTCCTCCTTGTTCGTAGTGTTAGTTCGATCTAACATTATCAAACAAGATTGTTGATGAGTTCTTGGGAAATATGAAACGGTTTCCAGAGGAGATGATGCCATTCAACAACTTGCTGCTGAAGTTGGAAAATATTCATCCATAATTGGGTGATATTAGCTAACACTTATCAATTTCTTTAATACATAACTTCGATCACAATACATGAATTTAACAATTGTAAAAATGGAAAATCAAACTAGGGATGGCAATAAAACCCGAACCCACGGGTACCCACCCGACCCAACCCGGTCAACGCGGGTAAAATTCGTGTTGACGGGTTTTGGATCGGGTTTGGGTTTAAACCCGTTTGCTATTCACTGGGTTGGGTTGGGTTTCGGTTTAGGTGAACCCGGCCCATGGGTACCCGCCCACACCCATATAATTAATTTTCTCGGCATATTTAATATTCTAAACAACTAATCTTATTTATGTTTGTGGAGACATGTCTAATTTTTTCTTTCTAGTTGTGTATAATGAATTTGATGTTATCGAGTGGAGATTGAAAAGCTTAATTGAAAGGAATAAGCTTTCAATCAATCATGTTATTTATGAATAATTTGTGATTTGCTTCAATTTTCTTGAGTTTTCTAGATTGGTGTTAAATAATTTGTATAGTTAATTTGTGATTTGCTTGAATTTTTTAGAGTGGTGTTTTATATATGGATAATTTGTATTGAGAGATTGATATTTGACGTTAATTTTGATAAGAACTTGTTATTGTGAATTTTTTACGATAAAACCCCGTGGGTATCCATGAACCCGCGGATACCCAGTGGGTTCGGTTGAGTTTGAGTTTTCAAACCCAGTGGGTTTTACCCCGGGTTTTTAACGGATAAACCCATGGGTTTGGGTTTGAGTTTGGCAAAACCCGACCCATTGTCATCCCTGAATCAAACTAATCCTTCAATCAAATTAGTTCTCCTCTGAAATCCATATCTAAGTCGACTGTACTCTTATCATAAAGGAGATCCTTAATGGTGTTGGCTGTTGGGCAATCTGTCAAAGGAGCACCACTTTTCATGTTGGAAGATGACAATGATAAAAGTCCCCACTTGATAAGCCAATGGGATTGGTTGGTTTATTTCAGAGATAGGTAATGTGGTTGGGCTCCCCAATGCTCTCTTCCCTTCCCAGTGTAGTTGCTCCCATTCTGGTCCCAAGGGAGAGATGCTCAGTTCAGTCAAACTCATCTTTCTCTTCGCTGCACCACCAATGGTAACCTATCCTAACAATTTCTCTATTAGTTTATGGAAATTGCTCCACTTCTTTGGTAGGTAGACGGCTGAGGCAGCCGCCATTAATTCCACTAAAAAAGAGAGGAGGGTGCCATAGAAAATCTCTGCAAATCTGGACTCTTTTGAACGTTCAAAGGGTCAACAGGGACCCTTGATTGATACGAGGCTTCTCTTAAACAAGCAGAAGAACAGGCATATCAACAGTAGTGTCTTAATTGAAGCTTTCCAATCTTGATAGATAACAAGCATTCCATACAAAGGCGAATCTTCCCAGAATCTCAAAGGTACATACAGACCACATAAGCCCTCGCGCCGCGCCCACACGAGGGGCAGGCAACAATCACAATAATATGCAAATAAACAGTAGGCCAACTTTAGACACAAATCCTGGTACCAACAACTGCAAACCTAGTTTGACTACAGCAACCAAACCCTGGTTTTGCTTATTCTTAGTAAGCTACAGCTGCCATACTCTCCCCCACAAGCAAAGCTCTTGCGGCTTCTTAACTAAAGAAACTAGTCCTTTTACTACTGCAGAACCAGGCATTCTTGAGTTCCTGAGACCATGTTGCAGTTCCTGCCTTTGTTGATCGAGCCAGTTCCTTCGAGAGGAGGTTTGTCATCGCCTGCACCCTGGGTCAGGTGCTCATCTTCCTTCTCGCTCAAGGTGTAGGAACAGGCTTCAAAGATCAGAGCTTTCACTTCTTCAAACCTCTCTTCGGAGAGGGACACTTCAGCTAGAAGCCTCCATGCATTCTCCTCGGAAGCTTCCTCGTAGTCTTTCTTCCTCTTCAGCACCATGTGCCCACTGATCTCCCACACCGCAGGGTTCACTTGGGTATCGAGAAGCTCACTGCTCACTTCGCCAAGTGCTTGTTTCTCAGCATAGCACTGTTCAACCATCAACAGCAAGTTTCCAAATGGTTAATAGTGGGATATTCAACAGGTTAGAAAGAAATGAAGCAAAACCAAAATAGTAATCTGATATAGTATTTCAGAGAGTGCATTATACCTGAGGCAAGAGAAAGATGCGCTTTCCACAATCAGCAATCAGGACGTTGTGTGGAATGTTGTTATCTTGAAGAAAAATGCAGGCATCAGAGACGGCGTTTGACAAGTCTTGGAGAGTGTTCCCACCTTCAAAGACGAGACCCCTGACCGGATAATCAAAGAGCTCAGAGATTTTCACTCCATCACCTAATGTTGTCACCTTCCTGGTAGGAGCCTTCTCAATCGGGAATGGCACAGCCAAATAGTAAGCCTATTGCAGAAGATTTATAAAAAAAAACATCATGGTTTAGAATGATTGTCAATATTTCATAGATAAATGCAGCAGTAGCTTCAGAAATCATATATATAACTGGACACCAAATATTAACCTGGAAGTGAAGATGGTTGATGGTAGCAAATGCACCAAGACTGTTGTAACCCAAGCGGAAGTAAGGGTTCCCAGCTTCAATTGCCATGTAAAGTGCAAGCAAAAAGCTCTCACGATCAATCCTTTGAGGCAGACATTCCAAGATACGCGGAATCAGCAGCACATGCCCATACTCGATAGGGCTAACCTGTAAACAATCAAATGACAGTGCCTCAGTACTCCATCCCACTGCAACCACTTCTCTGGGCTAAAAATAGCAATAAGAACTTGTGAGCAAACTAAATGAATAAACCTACATTGATGGCAACCACGCTAGGAGAACTATCAGCATCAACTGGAGCATCTGGGAAGAAATGGACTTCACCATCTTCGCTCGCATCAAACTGGAAGAGCACTTCCTCCTGCCCAACTTTAGTGAAGTTGAACTTGTTCCCATCAAAGGGCTGAAGAACCTTGTCAACCCTGAATTCAGTTGGCCTCTTCTTCAGGTGACGACCTTCATTCAGTTGGGCCATGAAGCCACATCGGCCAGGAATCACCTGAAACATTAAAGAAAGAAACTTCAGCATCAATCATCAAACCCCACTACCCGAGAACTCAATAAACTATCAAAGGAATTGCGTTATGCAAGAAAGAAACAGTACCTTGGTTTCACATGCAGTGACATCATAGCGAAACAGTCCTCGCTGCATGCGGTCCTCCCACTGGAATCCCAACAAATACAACGATTTAACCATCGTAAGTCCGAGAACAGAAAACAAACACGCAACTTTGTTCAATCAATCATCATTATTTGACCAAAGACAAAATTATCATACCTGTCCAAGGAGGAGGGAGTCCAAGAATGCAACAGGAGCCTGGTTATCATCATGCTCAAGAACACACTTGTCGCCAGGAATCTCCTCCGCCCTCTTGAAAGTATAGAGAGGAAGCTTTGCCCCTGTTCATGCAAACAAAGAAACATGAACTCATGGCCTCAATAACTGAACCTTGTCGCGGCAAAATGTTTGAACAATAGAGCAGCAAATGCATTTCAACACAAGTACCTGGAATGCAACACTTCTGAAGGCAATTGCGGCCGCAACCTCCGCCGCGGCGGGCAGCGTCTTCGCCTTCGTCCTTTTGGTAGTTCGACACAACGGTAGGAACCCTCTTGATTCTAAGCATCATCCTTTCGCTTCTTTTTTTGACCTCACACAAGGAATTTCACAAATTCTCTACGGCCCACAAAGGATCTTAAACAATATACTCGAATGATTCTTCCTCCTATATATACTCTTTCTATTTTGTTGCGCTTTCCGAAGCGAAAAAGGAAACGAGAAATATCCTAAATCCTACACTAAAAAGGAAAAAGAAGAGGAAGGGAAGAGGGAACCACCGCCGGCGAGGAAGAGGAGATCGGAAGGGCTCCCGCCTTCCGAAGGCAAAGCTCCACGGCCGCCGTGCGCAGAAGGGTTGCTCTGGATTATATCCAGCTTGCGACGCACTGAACGGACATGGATTAGAGGCCGAGTTACGCCGTGAATAGCCGTGATGTCTGCAACTTGTCTACCCTGGAATTATCCCCTGAAAATCCTTCCAGCTTTCCTTCTTCCTACAGGGAAATGAAAGAAAAAAAAAAACGAAAACCCCCCCAAAAATCAAATCAAATCCACACCCTTTGGCAACCCACTTTCCCTTTTCCAATCAAGCTTCCCCCTGAATCACACGCACGAGAAACAAGAACCCAGAACAGAGCAAATCAAAATCCGCCTTCGCCACCACAAGGAGAGAGAGATTCTGAGAACTGGGGAGGAAAAGGGTTGCTGCGGGACGGGTTTGAGAGATGGATTCAGAGAGAGTTTTTGATGCTTTTACGTTTTTGCGGGTATGGAGAGAGGTGAATGGAGCGGAAGAGATATAGAGGAGGGGAAGATAAGGAAACCAAGAGTGGTGGTTGTGGCTGTGGTTTGGCCGTGAGGGAAGGGAAGGTCGAGTGGCTGTGGTGGGATCTGGTGGGCTTTTTTGGGGGAAATTGGTGTGTTCTTATAGCCGTGGGACGACGGAGAGCCGCAGAGATTTTTTTTGTAGTCGTTCTGCGGACAAGCCAATAAGGCAATAACCGGTCTGTTTTGGGCCTTATTTGGCTGCCGCCGGAGCAGAGGAAAGGTCCCCTTCCAATAAAAAATAAATAAATAAAACGACCGCCTTTTGCCCATACATAGACAAAAAATAATGCACCATGCATATTTGATATTACTAAAGAAATTTCATATATTCTATATTTACAAAGAAAAGATTCCATATATTCTATGGTATAAAATGATTCGAGGTAGCCCACTTGATCTCATTGGTGATGTCAAGAAAGAATAAAATTACAATTCAACATCATACCAACGCAAGATTCTAAAGTGGGGAGACAGACATTGATTTTAAAGAAGATACTATTAGGGTTTTGCGAGTAGTTTAATTCGAGACTCGTGTAAATATCTTATATACTACATTTTTTTGTCGAGGAATAAGTCAATTTGATATTCGTTGTCTTTGGCGATCTTGCATGGGTGTCATTTTACTCGAGATAAATATGTGATGGGATGTGTATTTAATTTTCGCACATTCTAGCATCATTCTTGATACTTTCGATGTCAATTCTCTTGTTTTCTACTTGTATTCGTGTCAGTTTGATTTCTTTCCATGGTATGAAATGATTCGAGCAAATCCCACTTGATCTCGTTAGGGATGTCGAGAGAGAACAAAAATACAATTCAACATCATACTAACGCAAGATTCTAAAGTGGAGAGACAATAATTTTAAAGAGATATAATTAGGGTTTCACATGTCAGTTTATGAGTAGTTTAATTAGAGATGCGAGTAATCATCTTATAAGCTACATTATTAGCAGAGGAATAAGCTAAAATGACCTAAATTGTCTTTTGCAATCCTACATGAGTATTGTTTTGCTAGCGATAAATACTGCGACGAGATGTTTTTGTTTTATTTTTGCCCATTTTAATATCATTCTTGTTACTTTCAATTTCAATGCTCTTATTATCTGTTCGTATTCATGTCATTTTGATTTCTTAGGTAAGATACTTGTAGTTACAATTTCTAATGCAAGCCTTTACTTGTGTCGGGACAATAAATTTGGTCATCAGGCTTGAGGTGCCATGGCACACTAGCTGGGGACAACTAAAATATTGAAGCGACTACACATGCCCTCCCGTCCTAAACAGGTCGAACAAATAGGATAGGATAGGACAGGTCCAAACTGTCATACCTAACGAGCTCGATAATTGGAAGTCTCGAAGATAAATTCAAGTGCTAGATATCGATTAGAGAGGGGAGGGCGGAGAGAGGGGTTGGTACTCGAGATTATTTAGCAGAGAGGGATTATAGAGATTCGACTGTCTGCCACCATCGTGGCTTTTTCATCATCGTGGTCGACATTCAGTCGTCAGGTTTGGGGTGAGAGGATGAGGGATGGGTTTGGGCTGATGTGGTGGATGATGGGTCGTTCAAGACTCAGAGTGAAGTGGGTAAAGATGAGAGGATGAGACTCAGAGAGACCGAGATTGAATTACGAATGAGGGTTAGGGTCTCTGCCTCTGAAAATTTCACATTAGAGGGCTATGTAGTGAGTCTAGGCTGAGGTGGCGAACGAGTTTACAAAGGGGAGCTAGGCTTCTGGGGCTTGTGGCCTTGTTGTGAATCATGGCGGACAATAACTTTTAAGGAACTAGCTTGGGCTTGGTGAGTTATCTTGTCTATATCGATTTATTTAATTTTAAACCGAACTAGATTTAGACAATAAGTTTGTCCTCTCTCACAATCATATCCCAGACTAATCGTGCTATACACGATTTCTGACGTTAACCACTCGAGTTATACTGTCGATTTCTGATTTGGCTGGACAATTGAAACCAAACCCCCACCCCCTACTACAATCTGGACTCCGAGTATCAACTATCAAGTAATGTCAATTTGATGGGCTATGAATGTTACTTTCTCGGCCGAGACTTATGAGTCGAGGTGGGCCGTGGTTCAAGGTTTCCAGTTTACATATACAGGCTGAAAGTCCAGCAAAATACCCGTGTATTTATTGTGGGCCCATATGCAAGCGATCCGCCAGCGAACGGTTGTGGGCTTGTGGGCTTGTGGCGCGTACCCAAAAAAGGAAAACGCAACAAGTGTTCAAATCCCACGCGCATGTACAGCACGTGTCGCGTATGCTTCCAAAAATGAAAACCACCGCAACAGAAACTCAATCCCCCCAATTCAATTCGCATAAATGAACTTCCAATTCAATTCATTTCCATAGTCGCTCAGGAGCAATCGCGATTTGCATTTATAAGCAATCGATCGGAGTCCGCCGGCGAGAATCGCTTGAGAAAGAGGGGAATCAGAGCAGGTTCTCTCTGCTTCTTTAGGAGGGAAAGAAAAATGGCGAACCTTCCTAATTCGCTCTCCATGAATGCTCCCTTCGGAGGACCTGGCGGCTCTAACCCTGGCGCCGCAGGAGCGCCGGCCGGAAAGGAACGGAGAATGGCATCTGCCGAGCACTTGGTTCTCGAGCTGAGCAACCCCGACCTTCGAGAGAACGCTCTTCTCGAGCTCTCTAAGGTGATCCCGTGAAGTTTTCTTCTTTCTTCATATTAGTTTTTGGGTAATAGTTTCGAGGGTTTTATTTTTCCTCCCACTATTTCTTTGTTGAGTTCGTTAGGTTTGAGTATGGATATCAACTGCCACATTTTTTCCCCATGACTGCTAGCTTTTGTGAAGTTCTGAGCTTTCAATTGCCTTGGTGATTTATCTTGTTCACCTTAGTGTCCTTCCGTCACACTCGTCGAATGGAAAAGGAAAAGGGAAATAAGGGAGAGGAAGAACCCCGTGAAGCATTTACTGTCTGTCAGCCATAGTTGTTGGTAACAGTTAAGTGTGACCGGCTCTTCAATGGGAATCTTTTTTCTTCCCATATCGTGAGTAGTAGAAATATTTCATTTTGATCATTGTTGCCTGTCTAAGAGTCCGTGTGCATGTTATCATAGGGATTCATTTCACTTCCTAACTTGCATTTCGTCCAGAAGTTCTTCGGGTCAAAGTGTCTTTCGGAATTTCAATGTCTTTCCAGCTGGCTTCATATCATTTCCTTAAGTGCCTGCTACTTTCAATGAGCTCTAGGCTGCTCTGAATATTATGTACGGATTAACGGGTTATGCCTCTCTACTTTGTGCCAAAATATATTTGGATTTTCTGTTTTTAGAACATCGTCTCGTTGATCCCTGTAGTGCTGTGCACCCTAGGACATGTAATCCAGTTGATCTTGTCCGGATTTGTTGATATATATGAATGTATTTGGTAAAATGTTGCTCCTCTTATGCCTGCAAAGTTCGAATTATGTTGTTCTTTTAGTGGTTGATACTATATGGAGTTGCTGTTACAATGCGGTACCCATTTGGGTTGTGGGGGCCTCTAGCATAGCAGAACTAGTTTGTCTATGTAATTTTCTTCCATGAAAAACAAGCAAGTATGAAAGTGGAAGTTTATTTATGACATTAGTATTTAAGGTAAATGTTCTGCCAGTCGTTTTTCCTAGCTGTAGGACTGCAGTCAATTGGATAGATGTACCTGCATTTGTAAGTTAGAGGTGGTTCATTTTTCTTGATGAGATGCTGTGCAAATGTTCCTAACAAACTCCTGTTTTCCTGTGTTGATATTTTCAGAAGAGGGAATTATTTCAGGATTTGGCTCCATTGCTGTGGAACTCCTTTGGTACAATTGCTGCACTTTTGCAGGTAAACAATCTATATGTAGTTTCCTTGTTTTACATATTTCACACCATATCAGAACTTTCTGGATCTACTTTTGTGTTTATAGAATGCCCCACAACATTCTGCAATTGTTTTGCTTAGTTTTTGTTGTCATGGTCTGACGCAAAAGCCTTTAACTGTGATCGATACTCTCCCTGCTACATTTGGCCAAATGTAGTGGATGTGGCTAGTAGATGAAATCTTGATGTCCTACACATATGAATACTTACCTTATGTTTGAATGCCTTAATACCACTACTTTCCCTCCCATCGACATGTAGTTGAGGTTAGTACTGGGTTGAATGATCCACCTTGGTATATCATTCTAGTAGAGTCCTTGTAAACAGATAAGGATCACTGGGGTGCCAGCCGAGTTTTATAATGTTTATTATTAAATTGCAATGTGCTTTAAACATGATGTTGCTTCTTTCCATTTATCAACTCCATGATGCTAATTATGCTACAAGTGCTTTGTATTGAAAATACTCCAAATCAATGACCTATGTCAAAATATTCAGGACTTGTGTATGCTTGTTTTCATTAGGTACCACACACTTCAATATTGGCAATTGTTAAGCAATTTAAGCGTTTCATCTTTGGGCAATACTCATTTGTTCGTTCCTACTTGCAGGAAATCGTTTCAATATATCCTGTTCTGTCTCCACCAAACTTAAGCCCAGCTCAATCAAATAGGGTCTGCAATGCCCTTGCTCTGCTTCAGGTTAGATGCTTTGTTGTTTGACTTCAGTCTTGAATGGTGATTATGTTCACTTCTCTGACCTTGTGAACTGTTACTGCACTTTTCTTCATTTCCAACATATACACTGTTAACATAATCGTGAGTCAATAGTCAATACAATGACCACTTTTTGCTTGCATGGGCTGAAAATATCCATATGTTATATGCCCAATCTTTGAAGATGAGTTCTGCCAAGTAACAATATTGCTTTTAACAGAGAGGTCCTTGAACACATAATTGTTTTGAAAACAGTAAATCAAAATCTTCATGTTTGCGGTTAAGTACCTTAGACATTATTCTGAGTATGTAAGTTAAAGGGTTTAGACTAGAAAACATGGGTAGTTGGAGGTAATTCAAATTTTCTGAAGAAACACCTCCCTTTTCCTTTCTTTCTTTTTACCTTGTCAAGTAGGTAAAGAGATTTCCTAATACCCATTGGGTAACTTGAGTTGTGGTTTCCTTAATTAAGAGAGTATTGCTAATGCTTCATAATCTTCTCTGTTCTCTACAGTGTGTTGCCTCTCATCCAGACACAAGGATGTTATTCCTTAATGGTAATACTCTTGCCTCTTCACTCACGGCTCACCCGTGCAATAATCCCGCACGACATATGTATTTCCTTTATTCAGTACTGTAGCAATGTAAACCCTCCAGAGATGCTAGTTCCTTAGGCAAGCTCTTCGAATTATTTCTTATACATGCTCCTTTTTATTCTGAAACTGTTGATTTGCAGCTCATATACCTCTCTATCTGTACCCTTTCCTCAACACAACAAACAAGTCCAGACCTTTTGAGTACTTGAGGCTTACTAGTTTAGGTGTCATTGGTGCTTTGGTGAAGGTATTTCTGATTGCTCCTGTTCCATTGTATCTACCTTTGATTGCTGATAATCCTACGGGCAATCTAAAATTCGTGCACTGCTGCATCATCATACAAAATTTTCTTTAAATTTGCCAGGTGGATGACACTGAAGTCATTAGTTTCCTTCTGTCAACTGAAATAATCCCTTTGTGTCTGCGTACCATGGAAATGGGGAGTGAATTGTCAAAGACGGTTGGTGCCCTTATTCTATGCCTTCTTTATATCTTTACTAAAGGGTGTGGTCATCCTTTTCCCATCCAAACAACGGATGCAAGCCCCTCTCATCTTTTGTTTTTTCACAATAGTTGTGCCGTAGGAAACTGACAGCGAGAAGCTCGTTCCTGTTGATGACAGGTCGCGACATTTATAGTTCAGAAGATATTGCTGGACGACGTGGGTCTTGATTACATCTGCACTACAGCAGAAAGGTTTTTCGCGGTAGGAAGAGTTCTGGGTAACATGGTGACGGCACTTTCTGAGCAGCCATCTCCTAGGTTGCTGAAGCATATCATCAGATGCTACCTTCGACTATCCGACAACCTGAGGGCGTGTGATGCACTAAGGAGTTGCCTGCCAGAAATGCTTAGGGATGCTACCTTCAACAGTTGCCTTCGCGTAAGAAGCCCCCCTTTTCACATCTCTGTGTTTTCTTTTCACCCTGAAGGACGGAAATTGAGCTGTAATTGCTGTTACATGAGGCTTTGCAGGAAGATCCGACCACAAGGCGATGGCTGCAACAGTTGCTTCACAATGTCGGGGTGAACCGCGTTCCTGCTGGACTTCAGGGTGGTGGAGGATTTGAGCATATGTTGGTAAACTAGAATCATCAATCTGGAACCGCAATGAGGTCGAGTCTACCTTGTAGTTGGTGGTGTTAATTCTAGGATAGAAGTAAAAGGAGTGAAAGTGCTGGTAGTTGTAGCTGGCTGGCCTTTCTTGTGGATGCTTATCAATTGATTGTCTGGCGATGGAGTTGGGTTCTGAATGTTACCTATTATGTTGACAGCCTTCTATCTCAAAGGATGAAGCCTACATCAACTTGTTTATTGAGCTTAATTTCTATTTGGGCTGTAGATAAAGATAGAATATGTTTATAAAGACAAACTGTCTTCTTGTAAGGGGGGTGATTTTTATGTTTGGCTTTCAAAGAAAAAAAGAGGATGAGGAAAAGGACTACCTCTTTTTTGTCATTATTGGACTTGATTTGTGAGCTGTGACTGTACATGGGAGTTGGGCTGGCACAGCAAGGGCATGCTTCGGGTCTATTTATTGTTTTGGGTCTATTTATTTCGTGCAGTGTTTGACACGGTCCGTCATTTTTTGTGTCATGTTATACAAGCCTATTTGTTAACTTTGCTAGATTCGGTCCAGGGCCGGACACGGTTTGAATCGTGCCGTGCCTATTCGTGCTCGTGCCATGCTCGTATTCGTGTTTAATGAAAATGACGGAAACAAAAGAGAGAATGAAAAAGAAGGTGAAAATTGGATGAGAAAGATAGTATTTATCAAGAAAAAAAAGAAGATCGTATTTATCGATAATGGTTGAAAAAAGTAACAAATAAGGGGAAAAGAAAATTGGAAGTATAGCGAGTGTGATTTGGCTTTGTTTAATTCTTTGTCCATTTTTACTTATGTTAGTAATTACGTATATATTTTTATGACACTTCTAAGAACAACAAACATTTATTTTTCTACTTGTGTTTTGTAATATTTGAACCTATAATTCTTTTTATATTTATTTTCTATCAAATAAATATTATTTTCGTGCCATGTCCGTTCTTATACTCAATAAAGTCTCGAAAATATTAGGCCTGATACGACCCACTTATATACCGTGTCGTGCTCGTGCCCATGCAGTTTAGGTCCGACACGACCCATAAATTATTCGTGCTCGTGCCGGGCTGGCCCATTTATTTAGTGCCCGTGCTCGTGCCGTGCTAGCCCGTGGGCGGCACGGGCCGGTGCCCACGTACAGTTGTGACTGGCAATAGGTTATGGCACGTTCATTTCATAGAACCACTGCGATAGTAATTGGTACTGCCGTCCATTTAATGGTTGCAGAGCGTCAGTTCTGATCAACAATATCATTTATAGTCGAAACTTTAAACTGCAACTCCAATTCAAAATTTTCTGCTTTTAGAGCGATTTCAAGAGCTTACCTGGCAACCCATTTAGACAGAATTTATGTCCATCTTTCGCCGTCTGCAACCGTCCTCCTTCCCTCTTTCTGACATATCCTTCCCGCATCCGAAAGAAAGAACCATACTCTCCTGCATCTGCCTCCATTCTCGGCACTCGCACCTTAACCCGCCTTGGACGGTAGTGGCATTGACTGTATAAGTATCGCCCGCACACAATCCTCTCGACGAAATATGACCAATTATGGCTGTTGAAAAATATAGTTATTGTAAAATATGTCCGTTGGAATTTAATTCTGATAGTTAGGTCGCATTGAAAACGATCTACGATTTTAAAAAACCCAAACTAAAAGGAAAAGAAAAAGTAAAAGTAAACACAACTCTGACACGCAGGCCAGCAAGTCCACTCCCCTCCTTTTGTCCCGTTGTAGGGGAAACCCAGCCAAAAAAACCTTCTTTCCCTCTTTTTCAACCCCCACTGTGAGTCCTCTTTGCAAACGACCCTTCTTTTCCTTCTTCCCACCGTCGATAGTAGATGGTCTCATTTCATGTATTTCAAATCATCTATTATATTAATTACATATATCATATTTATCGACAAAATTCTTCCAACCAAAGGCTCGGGCCCTGTGCTAGTGAGAGAAATGACAAGGCATGAGATTGATTACTATAGTATTCTCCCATCAGCTCTTAGTGTCTTGAGGAAGAAGCTATAGACACATACTACATTTCTTCCACTCCCATCTCTTGCTTCTTTTTGTAATTCAGTTGTAAAATGTGTTGGTACTTCTGAATGAAGAAACTCTCTTTGTTTCTAATGTTCACATTTCTTGTTGCCAAAACAGTTATCTTTCTACAATATTTCACTTTGATGGGTTGCGAGTAGGGATGGCAATGGGTAGGGTCGAGTGCGGGTTTACCCTATACCAACTCCTAACCCGCCGGGTAGAGCCTTCTAAAATACCCGACCAAATAACCACCGGGTATGAAAATTATATAACCATACTCTACCCACCGGGTAACCACGGGTATTCGGGTAACCATGGGTACGAATCCTAAACTATGAACTTATACACATATATGCACATACATACTGTTTTGAGTTGTCCATTAAAAATTCTCAATACTTGTAACTGTTCTAGCTTCAACAATCCACACAAATAAAAGCAACAAACACATAATAATTGTACTTGCTTCTACAATCTACAATCCACACAAACATAATAATCGTCTACATCTTCATCATCAATAATGGTAGCTAAACTCAATTTCTCAAGCTAAACTAAATTTCTCAAGGAAAATTGACCCTTTTGTTAGCGGGGCGGGTATAACGGGGTGGGTATTATCGATTACCATACCCGTACCCTACCCTTTATTTTGAAACCGGGTATTATCCGTACCCTCCCCTTAACCCGTCAAAACGGGTAATTACCCTCGTTGACCGGGTACGGTCGGATAGGGTACCCATGATTACGGGTTGGATTGACATCCCTAGTTGTGACTTGTGAATGTTGACTTCCGAGGCTCAGTTGAGGTGGGCCGTGGATAAAGGTTCCCAAGTTACATATAGGCCGAAAGCCCATCACTAGACCCCGGGTATTGCCGGCCCATATGCAACCGATCCGCCAGCAAACGGTTGTGGCCTTGTAGACGTGTGTACCCAAAAAAACGGAAAACGCAAACAAGTGTTCAAATACCACGCGCATGTACAGCACGTGTCTCGTATGCTTCCAAAAATGAAAACCACCGTAAGAGAAACTCAATCCCCCCAATTCAATTCACATAAATGAACTTCCAATTCAACTCATTTCCATAGTCGCTCAGGAGGAGCAATCGCGATTTGCATTTATAAACCCATCGATCGGAGTCCGCCGGCGAGAATCGCTCGATACAGAGGGGAATCAGTCAGGGGCAGGTTTTCTCTGTTTCTTTTTGGAGGGAAAGAAAAATGGCGAACCTTCCTAATTCGCTCTCCATGAATGCTCCCTTCGGAGGACCTGGCGGCCCTAACCCTGGCGCCGCAGGGGCACCGGCCGGAAAGGAACGGAGAATGGCGTCTGCCGAGCACTTGGTTCTCGAGCTGAGCAACCCGGACCTTCGAGAGAACGCTCTTCTCGAGCTCTCTAAGGTGATCCCCATGAATTTTTCTTCTTTCTTCACGTTTGTTTTTGGTTAATAGTTTCGAGGGTTTTTATTTTTCATCCCCTGGTTTCTTTGTTGAGTTCGTTAGGTTTGAGTATGGATATCAACTGCCACATTATGGTTGCTCGCTTTTGTGAAGTTCTTAACTTTCAATTGCCTTGGTTATTTTTTTTGTTCACCTTGGTATCCTTCCGTGGCGTCTCACTCGTTCACCTGCAAAAGGATAAGGGGAAAAATGGGTGAGGAAGAAACCCGTTAGGCATTTACTGTCTGTCAGCCATCTTTGTTGGCAACAGCTAAATGTGACCGTCTGTTCAATGGGTATCTTTTTTCTTCCCAAATCGTGAGTAGTAGAATTATTTCTTTTGATCATTGTTGCATGTCTTAGAGTCCGTATGCATAATTCCATAGTGATTCATTTCACTTAACTTGCATGTCGTCCAGAAGTTCTTAGCCTCAAAACTTTCTTCGGAATAATTGAAATGCGAGCTTGCCAGCTGGCTTCAGTTCATTTCCTTAAGTGCCTGCTACTTTCAATGAGCTCTAGCTGCTCTGAATGTTTAAGTATGGATTAACGGGTTATGCCTCTCTAGTTTGTGCTAAAATGTCTTTGGATATTCTATGTTTTTAGAACATCGTCTCGTTGATTCCTGTAGTGCAGTGCACCCTAGGACATGTAATCCAGTTGATCTTGAACTGGGACACAAAACCTCTATTGTTGAAGTAGAGTGCATTTAAGTAGTGGTTTAGGATTCCTGTTGATGCCTTGATAAATATTGTCCGGGTCTGTTGATATATATGAATGCATTTGGTTAAATGTTGCTGCTCTTATGCCTGCAAAGTTTGAATTATGTTGTTCTATTGGAGGTTGATACTCTATGGAGTTACTGTTACAATGCGGTACCCATTTGTGTTGTGGGGGTGGGGGGCCTCTATCATACGGAACTAGTTTGACTATGTACTTTGCTTCCATTAAAAACGAGCAAGTATGTAAATGGAAGTTTATTTATGACATTAGTATTTAAGTTAAATGTTCTGTCAATCTTTTTCCCTAGCTTTAGGACTGCAGTCAATTGTATAGATGTACCTGCATTTGTAAGCCAGAGGTGGTACATTTCTTGATGAGGTGCTGTGCAAATGTTCCTAACAAACTCGTGTTTTCCTGTGTTGATGTTTTCAGAAGAGGGAATTATTTCAGGATTTGGCTCCATTGCTGTGGAACTCCTTTGGTACAATTGCTGCACTTTTGCAGGTAAACCATCTATATGTAGTTTCCTTGTTGTACATATTTCACATCATATCAGACTTTTGTTGTCGTGGTCTGACTCAAAAGCCTTTTGAGTGATACTCTCCCTGCTATATGTGGCCATATGTAGTGGACAAGGCTGGTCGAGGAAATCTTGATTTCCTACGCATCTGAATACTGCCCTTATGTTTGAATGCCTTAATACCACTATTTACCTTCCTATCGACATTTAGTTGAGGTACTACTGGGTTGAATGATCCACCGTGGTGGATCATGTAAGTAGAGTTCCTGTAAACATATAAGGTATCACTGGGGTGCCAGCTGTGTTGTATAATGTTTATTATTCAATTGCAATGTGCTTTAAACATGCTGTTTCTTCTTTCCGTTTATCGACTCCATGATGCTAATAATGTTACAAGTGCTTTGTACTGAAAATACTCCAGATCATTGGTCCTATTCCAAAATAGTTAGTTCTGGAATTTGGTATGCCTGTTTTGATTTTGGTAGCACACACTTCAATATTCCCAATTGGTAAGCAATTTAAACGTTTCATCTTTAGGCAATTCTCATTTGTGCATTTCTACTTGCAGGAAATAGTTTCAATATATCCTGTTCTGTCTCCGCCAAACTTAAGCCCTGCTCAATCAAATAGGGTCTGCAACGCCCTTGCTCTGCTTCAGGTTAGACACTTTGTTGTATTACTTCGGTGTTGGATGGTGATTATGTTCACTTCTACGACCTTGTGTACTGCACTTTTCTGCGTTTACACAACATATACACCGTTAACATAATCACGAGTCAATACAATGACAATTTTTTGTTTGCATAGGCTGAAAATATCCACATTTTATATTTTACGGCCCAATCTTTGAAGATCAGTTCTGCGAAATAATTATAGTGCTTTTGACAGAGAAGTCCTTTAACACATAGTTGTGTACTTGTGTTTGAAAACAGTAAATCAAAATCTTCATGTTAGCGGTTAAGTACCTTTTGGGTCCGTAAGTTGAAGGGTTTAGAGATAGACAACATAGGTAGTTTGGAGGTGATTAAACTTTTTGAAGAAACACCTCCCTTACTTTTTCTTTCTTTTTCCCTATCAAGTGGGTAAAGACATTTCCTAATACATATTGGGTAACTTGTGTTGTGGTTACTTATTTAAGAGAATATTGCTAATGCATCATAATTTTCTCTGTTCCCTCACAGTGTGTTGCCTCTCATCCGGATACAAGGATGTTGTTCCTTAATGGTAATACTCTTGCTTCATCTCTCACCCGTGCAAAAATCCTGCAAAATATATGTATTTCCTTTGTCCAGTACTGTAGCAATGCATACGCTCCAGAGATGCTACTAGTTTCTTCGGCATGCTCTTTGGATTATTTCTGACACTTGTGCCTTTTTATTCTGAACTGTTGATTTGCAGCTCATATACCTCTCTATCTGTACCCTTTCCTCAACACAACAAACAAGTCCAGGCCTTTTGAGTACTTGAGGCTTACTAGTTTAGGTGTCATTGGTGCTTTGGTGAAGGTATTTCTTATTGCTCCTGTTCTATTTGTATCTACCTGTGATTGCTGATACTCCTACGGACAATCTAAAGTTCGTCCACTGCTGCAGTATCATACATATTTTCTCTTTAAAATTGCCAGGTTGATGACACTGAAGTCATTAGTTTCCTTCTGTCAACTGAAATAATCCCCTTGTGTCTGCGTACCATGGAGATGGGGAGTGAACTGTCGAAGACGGTTGGTGCCCTTACTCTATGTCTTCTTTATATCTTTACTAAAGGGTGTGGTCATCCTTTTCCCATCCAAACAACGGATGCAAGCCCCTCTCATCTTTTGTTTTTTCACAATAGTTGTGCCATAGGAAACTGACAGCGAGAAGCTCGTTCCTGTTGATGGCAGGTCGCAACATTTATAGTTCAGAAGATATTACTGGACGACGTGGGTCTTGATTACATCTGCACTACAGCAGAAAGGTTTTTCGCGGTAGGAAGAGTTCTGGGTAACATGGTGACGGCGCTTTCTGAACAGCCATCTCCTAGGTTGCTGAAACATATCATCAGATGCTACCTTCGACTATCTGACAACCTCAGGGCGTGTGATGCACTAAGGAGTTGCCTACCAGAAATGCTGAGAGATGCTACCTTCAACAGCTGTCTTCGCGTAAGAAACTCCACTTTTCACATCTCTGTGTTGCTTTTTTCTCCCTGAAGGACGGAAATTGAGCTGTAACTGCTGTTACTTGAGGCTTTGCAGGAAGATCCGACCACAAGGCGATGGCTGCAACAGTTGCTTCACAATGTCGGGGTGAACCGCGTTCCTGCTGGACTTCAGGGTGGTGGAGGATTTGAGCATATGTTGGTAAACTAGAATCATCAATCTGGAACTGCAATGAGGTCGAGTCTACCTTGGAGTTGGTGGTGTTAATTCTAGGATAGAAGTAAAAGGAGTGAAAGTGCTGGTAGGTGTAGCTGGCTGGCCTTTCTTGTGGATGCTTATCAATTGATTGTCTGGCGACGGAGTTGGGTTCTGAATGTTACCTATTATGTTGACAGCCTTCTATCTCAAAGGATGAAGCCTACATCAACTTGTTTATTGAGCTTAATTTCTATTTGGGCTGTAGATAAAGATAGAATATATGTTTATAAAGACAAACTGTCTTCTTGCAAGGGGGGTAATTTTATGTTGGGCTTTCAAAGAAAAGAAAAAGAGAATGAGTAAAAGGACTACCTCTTGTTTGTCATTATTGGGCTTGATTTGTGAGTTGTGACCGGCAATAGGTTATGGCACGTTGATTTCATAGAACCACTGCGATAGTAATTGTTAATGCTGGTTGCAGATAGGGATGGCAATTTGAACCCGCCCCGCCGGGTTTTACCTGATTTGCGATGGGTAGGTATTACCCGACCCATCCGCCGGGTTTTACCTGATTTGCGATGGGTAGGTATTACCCGACCCATAGTAGCGTGGGGCGGGGCATGGGTACCAACTTCCGACCCGCCCGCCTTGTTCTTGGCCCATTCTAAGTCAATTTTTTATGTCATCCATGCATATATCTTCTAATTTGACTTTTCTAGGTCAAGATTAACTAGTTAGACTTGATCTTTCAACTAAATAGACTCAATTAACCATTATATTATCAATATTATCCATTCACGAAGTCTTTTCCCATTCGTTTTATCGTAAAAATTAAAATTTTGCTTGTATTTTTTCCAAATAGCATATAAGGATGGGTCGACCCGTCCCGCCCCGTACCCGCGCGGATATTACCTGCCCCGACCCGTAATAGCATGAGGCGGGGCATGGGTATTGAGGTACCCGCCCCGCCCCGACCCATTGCCATCACTAGTTGCAGAGCGTCAGTTCTTGATTCAATGAATGTGCAGTGCTGCGAGAACAATTTTTTACAAACGTCCTGTGATTTGTATCAGTCTTTGTATCGAAAGAGTACCTATTTATTAATAAAGACTAAGTTAAAACTGGGAATCGGTGCGGTTGCGATTAATCGCACCGAAATTTGCGGTTAACCGAGAATAGTCCATATTGGCCAACCGTGGCCGCACCCCGCTTGCGGTTTACGGTTAACCACTAATCATAATGTGCGGTTAACCACATGACTAACCGCATTGACCTGGAGGTGGGAGCCGAGAGGTGTGTTCATGTGGGATGCTGGTTGTCGGGACGATCAGAGGAAGAGCCGCTGAGCAAGTCAGCTGCCTGCTTGTCGGGTCAAAATAGACAAGATTACTATCCACCACTGCCAAATGACCTAATTGTTTTTGGGGTTTCACGAAACGCGCGGTTTCGATGCGGTTTTCATAACAAAGTAGGAGTGGGTGGCCAAGCCGTGATAATATACCTGGTGCACGGCGCAGAGCCCACTGCTTTTTCTTTTTTCCTGTGGCCGACCGACACTCTTCAGTCTTTATTCCCACCTGCTCTACTCTTCTTTTCTCTTTTTAGTCCCCTGAAGGGCCGTTTTGAAACTTTTATTGGAACTTCTGCCCTAGTCTTCCACTTTGGCCTTCCCCAACTTTCACACACACTTTCTCCCTTTCTGAAGGCTTCCTTTCAGTTCACGGGCGAGGCTCGACTCAAATCAAATACCGTTCAGCTTCAATTCGCCCTCAGCCGTTACCTCTTCTTCCCGCAGCTGAATCTAGGTTACCTCTCTCTCTCTCCCTCTCTCTCTCCTGCGAGCTGCCCATGTTAGAACTCGAAGAGCAAGCTCGTGCGGCCGTCGGCAATCGGCGTGGGTTCTTCTACAAGTCCGGCCGGGCGGAACGAAACTCCACCACCGCCCTTTGATGACCGGGTAAGTAGAATCCAACCCTTCCACCTAAGTTTTGGACTCTGTTTTTTTTTTTTTTTTGATATAATCTTTAATTAGTGTTAATTAGACATTTGTCTTTTCTTCCAAAAGAGGCGTCTGACCGCCGGCAATGATGATTAATTATGTATATTAGTGTTGACCAGATTCGTATCTGGTTGTTGATTTATTTATGTATTAGTGTTAATTATGTTGTTCGATTAGGGGAAATGTTTTTAAACTTTTGTTCATTCATAACCGTGTAAGAACCTATAAAAAATAAAATGAAGACTAAACACAAAAGTTTGATACTACATATTATTACACGAAAAAAAATCCAAATCAACCATTAATTAAAAAATAATTACAAATATATCACCTAAATCGAAATTTTTACGAAACTACCACCATTATTGAAAATCGACACCCAAGGATGCGGTTTGCATATGAACCGCATGATAAGGTGGCGGTTTACATGTTTTTAACAAACCGCCATCTGGGAAGGCGGGTCATTGGGCTGCCCTACAACAAACCGCCTCTCCAAGAAGTGGTTCTACGTTAGCTTACCGACTCATGGAGCGGGTGCGAGAGCGTGAGAGCGCCTATTCATAAAGAATTATAAATTCAGAGTGTTGTGAGAGCGTTAATATTATATTATTTTAATTGAAATATTATTTAAAATAATATCAAAATTTGACAAATTACTCCCACTCATAGGAAAAATGAGACTAATTGGAAAGTTTTGTGGTTACATCCTAAGTCCTAACTAAGTCAAACAAGAAGCATCACTAAGTTAATAGCCAATGTCTTTAGTAGTCTAAAATGGTAAAATCCAATTAGATACCGAATTTTTTTTTATAAACATGCCTATTTGATAATGCACAACACAAGCATATCATTATCTTGTTAGGCATAACCCATAGGCCATAGGAACTAACAGATAAAAGGAGACCGTGGCCCAACCAAATGATTGAGCCCAAACTGGGTTGTTGATTGAAACCCTAAACAAAACTCCGCTAAGTTGAGATCCCAGCCGCCAACTCATTCCCCTGCTCCCTTCTTCCTCGTTTCACCAAAATCCTCGGTAGATCCCTTTCTATAGACGCTCGTACTATTATCCAAAAATTCACTCGACGGAACTTACATCCTGTCGATCCACACCATCTTCTTATCGACAAATCCCCCCTTTCTCCCTACAATCTTCCACTCTTCTAAACCCAAATCGTTGATACAAACTGCAATATCATGCGTCATCAAGAAGTTGTTTCCCATAGAGTTCAAAATCTCCCAGTTGAAAGATTCTCTTTCACATACAAAGACTTTGAGATTTTTCCAGAAATAGCACCATTAACTTTTTTTTACAAAAATAACACCTAGGCCACACAAATTCCAAAAGTAGCACCTTTTTTCAAAATCGCACCTTGGTTGTGCGGTTTACATATAAACAGCAACCTGATGGTGCGGTTTGACGTTTGAGTTTCATAGACTAAATCGCATCTTGGCCAAGCGGTTTGCTTTCTGACCTAACAGAACCGCATCATGGCAAGGCGATTCTTAGGCTGACCTAGCAAAACCGCCTGCTGAGGATGCAGTTCTGTTTCTCTAACACAAACCGCATCCTCAGGCTGCGGTTTTCATTTGCCGACACACAAACCGCACCCCCTACGGTTTGTGTGTCGTCCCCATTTTTCCGACATCCAGCATGTTGGCCATGCAGGTTGACATACGTGGGGGCTGCATGGCATATCAAAACTGCACCCTCCCCCTGGGGTTTTCAGTGATGATTTAGCCTATAAAAGGCAGACCCGGGAAACCTCTTCTCTTCACATCTCTCGTTATTCTTCTTCAATTTTCTGTTGTAGCACCCTACTTTTTATTGTTTTTGCGATTAACGTTAACTCGTAAGTTTATTTTGTATTACTTTATATTGTGATTTGTGATTTTTACGATTTTAACTGAATTACGGTTTTATTGCAAATGACATTCAAAAAGTTCACGCTTGGGTTACGTTGGAATGGTTACGCGGAAGTGATCGGAAAGGGGGTCACCTACATCGGTGGCAATTTTTAGAAAACAAAGGTCGCTACCAGACCGATGCTTGAAGACCTCCATCAAATGTGTACTAACGTTACTTGCATGGATGACACGAGAAGAGTTGATCGTAAGGTATACCGATATCCAAACAGAGAAGGCGGGTCGTTGTGGCATGAGGAATATCTCATACCCACTCAGGATGAAGTAGATGCCATGCTCGAATTCTTGAGGTCCAATAATCTCCGGTGCAATCAATGACAGATGCTCTCAAGCCCAAAATTGAACGATGAACATTGCCCCGCCAACCTCCCTCACAGCTTTGAGAGATGCATTACACAAATGGTGGTAGATATTAGCTAGGCAAGTGGATGTCTAGCTCAACTCCCCCATCGCATCCCAACTACCAAGGAGGATCCTAAGCCATCCACAGCTAATTAAATTGTTGGATTTTTTTGGAGAAGAACACTCCTCCGATCATGCCTATGAGATAGACACGAGCATATCTTTCCTTCACCTCCTCGGGACTTTCCTCGGTCAGGGGCACCCCGCCTTTTGTAGGATCCTGCTTATCCTTCAACCACTTCGTCAACCAAGTGATTGATACTTGGTTTTTCCTCAATGGTGCTAAGCGATCTGTCCCATCAAAACACTGTAGATTAACTGCTGACAACCGGTTATATCGCCAACATCCTCGGGCGCATGATCACTCACACACACCGCTTTGCCGTCGATGGACAGATGAGTTAGGATGGTGACGTCCTTTAGAGTGATGGGTTAGGATGTCTCTTTTCACCATCTCTCCACCAATGCGGTGATGAGTTGACGATCGATTATTATGCCCGGAAAATGCCTAATCGACTCCAGCCTTTTTGAGAAAGGGCAAGATAACGTCGTTCCATGGGAGCACATTGGTCGTACCCCTGTAGCGGAGTATTTGGTATGCCTCCTATGTTCTCCGCACGGTTGGAGTCGATTAGGCATGGTCGTACCAAATACTCCGCATAGGGGTACAGCCTATGTGCTCTCATGGAACGACGTTATCTTGCCCTTTCTAAAAAAGGCACGGTTGGAGTCGATTAGGCATTTTTCGGGCATAAAAATCGATCGTCAGCTCATCACCGCATTGGTGGAGAGATGGCGAAAAGAGACACACTGCTTCAACTTTCGCAAAGGAGAGTGCACCATCACTCTAAAGGACGTCGCCATCCTAACCCATCTGTCAATCGACGACAAAGCGGTGTGTGTGAGTGATCATGCGCCCGAGGATGTTGGCGATATGACCGGTTGGCAGCATTTGATCTTACAGTGTTTTGGGGGTGCGAGTGCCAGTCAAGGGGAGCGTTGATG